GGATTTGCGGGGAAAATGGGAAACCTCGGGGCAGGGGGACACAGGGGGAGAGCAACGGCCAACGAAGACTGGGCGCTGCCGGCTCTGCTGACCACCCCTCCCAGCACAAACCCCCCTAAATCCGGGTCGTCATCTCTCCAAAGAGCTTCCCAGCAGTTTTCAGCGGCCATTTTTTTATCAGATGTTTCCAGAACCGGCGTGAAAACCTGCCTTTTTGCAGCAAATTCCAGACACTGAGCACCATTTGGAGAAAGAAAAAACAGGTCGCAACAGAAAGCGCTCGGCATTTGGGCTGCTTTGGGGGGGGTCCTCGCTCCTGTTGGGGGGAGCAGGTGCCTCGTACCCCTGAACCCTCCGGGTTTGCAGTTACACCCTGCCACAGCCCAGCCTCCTGGGGCAGCCGAGCCCTCTGTCTCTGCTGCTGCCACGCGGGCACGGTGGGCAGCATCATGGCCAGCAGGACCATGGTGGGCAGGATTGAGGTGGGCAGGATTGAGGTGGGCAGGAACACGGCGGGCAGGAACACAGCTGGCAGCATCAGGCAGGAGCATCCCAGGCAGGAGGAGTCAGGCAAGAGGCTTGGCTGGTGGGTACCACAGCGATGCTCCGCACCCAGCGGGGCAGGAATGGGAGAAGAGGAGCAGAAGGGGCTTCCCAGAGGACACGGCAGCACCCACCCACACCTGCACCCACACGCCTGTACCCACAGGGGCTGGGCACCGGCCCCACAGCCTCTTTCCCCCCACCCCGGGCAGCCCCAGGGCCAAGGGTGGGGGGGGCCAGACTGGATCCCCAGCGTGGGGGTCAGCGCTCGGTCACCGAGCCCCCCGGGGTCAGCACCAGGACCAGCAGCCGCCAGACATGCCAGGGTGCATTAGCACCGGGCTGCCACCGCCACAGCACCGTGGGGACCATCACCCTGCCCCCCCACCACATGCACACCCCCCCCTCCCCATGCACACACACAGCCTGGGCACACCCTCCATGCGTGTAGACCTCATGCACACACACAC